CTCATACCGCTCCCTCACCGGCCTGCTCTCATACCGCTGCCTCACCGGCCTGCTCTCATACCGCTCCCTCACCGGCCTGCTCTCATACCGCTCCCTCACCGGCCTGCTCTCATACCGCTGCCTCACCGGCCTGCTCTCATACCGCTCCCTCACCGGCCTGCTCTCGTACCGCTCCCTCACTGACCTGCTCTCATGCCGCTCCCTCACCGGCCTGCTCTCGTACCGCTGCCTCACCGGCCTGCTCTCGTACCGCTCCCTCACCGGCCTGTTCTCGTACCGCTGCCTCACCGACCTGCTCTCGTACTGCTGCCTCACCGACCTGCTCTCATACTGCTGCCTCACCGGCCTGCTCTTGTACTACTGCCACACCGACCAGCTCTCATACGGCTGCCACACCGACCAGCTCTCATACCGCTGCCTCACCGAGCCGCTCTCGTACAGCTGCCTCACCAAGCCGCTCTCACTACTGCACCCTCACCAGCCTGCTCTCATACCGCTGCCTCACCGGCCTGCTCTCGTACCGCTGCCTCACCGACCTGCTCTCATACCGCTGCCTCACCGACCTGCTCTCATACCGCTGTCTCACCGACCTGCTCTCATACCGCTGCCTCACCGACCAGCTCTCATACCGCTGTCTCACCGACCTGCTCTCATACTGCTGCCTCACTGGCCTGCTCTCACTACCGCTGCCTCATATCCTTGTTCCTGTTCTCGAATCCTCTCGCAATGAAGGCCAACATACAGTTTGCCTTCTTTACTGCCTGCTGCACCTGCACACTTACTGTCAGTGACTGGTGCATGAGGACACCAAGCAGTGCTGAAGAGAATCTTTGAAAAGAAAATAAATGTTGGTAAGTTTCAAAGAAGTGACAAGGCTAATGTGCTTTTTATTAGCTAACGTAACTGATAAAAACACACACATTTGAAGTAATAGTTGCTGAGATAGTCTTTTTTTTAAATGTGGAACTCAAAAATTTCAATTCAAGCCCAGATTGCTGCTAAATGCTTTGTCTTTTTCTCCCAGCCAGATATTCTGTCCATGGCTCACGTGCATCGTCTGACCACCATTGCCTGCCCTTTTATTTACAGCTCTCATTGCTTTGATAATGTTAATCCCGGGAGATTTTGGGTCAATAGTCAATTATTTCAGGTTTGTGCAAAACTGTTTTCTTTTAAATATTTAATTTAAAGATTTAATTCCTGAAATTCCCACAAGGCTGTTTGAGTCCCCCACTGTGATGGAACTGTGAAAATTGAGAGCCATTCACTCAGCGAGTGGTTAAGATCTGGTGAACTCTGCCTAAGCTTGCGTTCAAGGCAGGTTTAATTGAAGCAATCACAAGGAAACCAGGCTGCTATTTGAAAAGAAAGAAACTGCAGTGCAATGGGAGATGGCAGAAGAATGGTTCTAGGTGAATTCCTCATTTTGAGCTGGTGGAGACATGATAAGCTAAAGGCTGCCTTCTGTATGGTACCTGCTGTCTGGTTTTGTGACTTGGTTCAAACTAACTACTCCAGTCTTCTGTTGGAGTTGTACTCAAACACCGGGGAAACTTAGAGAAGTGTAGCCCAGACAGGCATCACATTGTAGATTTTCTTTTTAATTTGTTAAAATGCTGTAACCTCCTTAGCCAGAGCTTGAAACTAGCAGCCACACTTTAAGTTATATAGAATAAGTCAACTCTGAATGATGCAATGCTGAAATTGCTTTTCAATTATACTTTGTGGCACTTAGTGGCATAGTCATACAATAATAACATAGTGCATGACTTGAACTTATTATTTCATGGTTTTTACTTTATGGAATAATATATAACCTAATTTGTAAAAAGTACTGGTGTGGGGAAACTATTTTTGCATTTATTCATAATTAAAGCAATTGGACTTCTATCTTCAATGGGAATGACCTAATTTGACATAGTTTTTGGTTCATTAACAAAATAACACACCCATGTGTTAGCTGGTGTGTGCCTTTTTCACTATAAAATAGCACTTTCACCTGATTTATAGACAACAAGAAAGTACATCACCCAAGATTATTATTAAAGAAACTCTGCCTTGTCAGAATCATTTCCATTATTGTTCAAGCATTTAATTTTGAATCTAACTTGAATCAGTCACACAAGGAAACTTGTCCCTTATGCTTGTACAACTTTTCATTGAAAAATCCAAGATATTATGCTTATATACAAATGAATTTTAAGGGATTGGCAGCTCTGTTTTGAAGAAATAATTTTTGTTCTCCACCTAAAGCACATGTACCAACAGGAACAGCTTCTTTCCCACTGTTATGAGATTGCTGAATTGACCTCTCAAATTTCAAATCTCGTGTTGATCTTGCTTACTGTGCACCTTCTTTGCAGCCATAACTTTGTATTCCTCAATCTGTTCAATCACTCTACTATCTTTGTGTCTTTGTATGTTATGGTCTGCTGTACTGCGTGCAAAATAAAACCTTTTCACTGTACTAAGGTACACGTGACAATAATAAATCAAATCAAATCAAAAGAACCTCTAGCCTATGTGCAGTGGCAGAGAGTTTGGTGACTCTCCTCACCCCAAGTAGGATATAATTCACAACTCCTTCAAGTAATTACATTTTAGGTCCCTTGCATGGATTGACCTCCTTGCATTGTCGCTGTTCCCTCTGTAAAGAATTATCAGTTAAACATTGAGAATATTTCCTAACTTTTTTCTCACTTGATGTACAACATGGAATAACATGACAAAAATAATCACTGCTAGCAATGTAATTCCCAAAATAATAATCAGTGGGCTGAATTCCTAAAATGTTTCCTGGAAAGCAAATCCCTGAGTCAGCAATGCTGACAATATTTATTTATTCATTCCAAGATTTTTCTCTGGACTTTAAACAATGCTTAGCATGTCTAAGGTTGATCTAAATTCTCCCTAAAGACTATTCAATATTTGATTTGGTTCCCAAACAGCAGGTCAATTTTCCAAACATGTGTACTTGGTGTGTGAGTCTTCATGATCCATGTCGACATTTAGATCAGTTATAGTATGTTAGTATATCAAATGGTTTCTCTTTGACATTGTAACATTTCTTCCAGAATTGCTACCTACTCATTAATTATATATTTTTCCTGCTTAAAGTTTCACAGCTTGGATGTTTTATAGTCTAACCTTTGCTGCACTGATTAACATGAAAATTAAGAGACCACATCTTCATCAACCCTTCAAAGTAAGATATAATTTTAACATTATTACTTTTTATGAAAAGACTTAGGTATACATTCAGCATTTCTACCAGCATCAATTATTAATGACATCAAATGGCTGCTGTTTACAATTTCCCATTGGTGTCTTATCTTAGTTATTGATTTACAATTAGATAATGGATAAACACATTTAAACACATATCATGTCCTTACAAAATTCGAACTGCAGGAATGTTTAAACTCTTAGATGTAGGAAAAGACAAGCCTGCACCTTTGATAGGATTACATTACGAATGAACATTTTGAAGAGATGACTAAAATAATGGACAGGGGAGTGTTTATGGTATTATTACTATCAAATGCCTCCTCGATGTTCATGAGGTCCAAAACAATTATTAGCTAAAGTTGGAATCCATGGAATTGAAAACAAATCACTGATGTAGTTTAAAAACTGGTTGACTCATGGCTAACTGAATATTTATCTAATAGGAATCATAACGAGATCAAGTTCAACATATGCCTGAAAGGGAGAAACTTGAAACAGCTACTAAGATTCTAAACTTAGATTTGTCTAACTTCAATTTGATAGTCAGAAGTGACCCACAGTAAATTTGAGAGGTTCTTTAATGGGTAAAAGAACAGAGGTGTTCAAAAAACAATTTAAATAGTTTATAGTCCTAAGAGGCAAGAGCTCCAATTGTCAGTCATAGAGAAATAAGAGACAACATAAAAGAAAAATCATACAACAATGCAGAAAGAAATTAAACTGACCAGCAAATGGAAAATATATAAAGAAAGGATGATATACTTGCAGGATTATCAAAATTAATGCTTTTTTTACAACTGCATTAAGAAAATAAAGGTGATCAGAAACAATGCATGTTCCTTAAAACTGATGATATTGTTATTGAATATAAGTTAATGATGGGTATGTTGGATAATTACTTTACATCATTATTTAATGTAGATGAGACTAACAGGCCAGAATTCCTAACGAAACTGGTATTAAATCACGGATAGGAACTCTCCAAACCCAGTATAAGCAAAATAAAAGCAATGACAAAATTATGGTTCGGAAAAGTAATAAAGCTACAGGACCACATGGCTTCAGTCCCAGGTTTAAAGAAAGTAGGTCAGAACATTGCAGATACTCTAACTATAAACATCCATCGTTCTCTCAGTTTAGAAACCCTTCATTTAAATTGAAAAGTTGTCCTTATCATTAATGGCAAATGTTGAGAAGGAAAATCAGCAAGTCTTAGATCAGCTAACTTAACATCTGCTGGCAGAAAAGTATTGGAGTTTATTGTTAATGATGGGGTAAATAAACATCTTGACATTTTTCAACTGAGAAAGCCCCTTGGAGATTTTTAAGAGATCACTAAAATAGCAAACAGGGAAATATTTATGGATATGATTTGTATCAAATGCCTTCTGGAAGTTCCTGAGATCTAAGAAGATGAATGAGGAGGTTAGGGTGGATCCTAAGAGATTCTTTAAGTATATTAAAGGAAAAAGAATAACTAGAGAGAGAATAGGACCCCTCAAGGACTAAAGTGGACATGTATGTGTGGAACGGCAGGAGATGGGCGAGGTCCTCAATGAATATTTCTCCTCTGTGTTTACTGTGGAGAAAGACATGAAGACTTGGGAACTTGGGGAAATTAGTGGCGATATTTTGGGACAGTCCATATGACAGTAGAGGAGGTGTTTGAAGTATTATAATGTATGAAGGTGGATAAATCTCCTGGTCCTGACCAGATATTTCCATGAACCCTGCAAGAGGCTAGAGAAGAAATTTCAGAGGACCTGGCTGATATATTTTCACCATTGTTAGCCACGGGTGAGGTCCTAGAAGACTGGATGATAGCGAATATTGTGCCCTTATTCAAGAAGGTCTGCAAAGAAAAGCTTGGGAACTATAGACCAGTAAGTTTAACATCTGTGCTAGGTAAGTTACTTGAGAAGATTCTGAAGGATAATATATACATGCATTTGGAAAGATAGGGTTTGAATAGGGCTAGTCAGCATGGTTTCATGCGTGGGAGATCATGCCCCACAAATTTGTTAGAGTTCTTTGATGAGGTGACCAGGAAGGTTGATGAGGGCATGTTAGTAGACATAGTCTACATGGATTTCGATAAGGCCTTTGATAAAGTTCCACATGGGAAGCTGCTCTGGAAAGTTAGATCGTATGGAATCCAGGGAGGGCTGGCAAATTGAATACACGATTGGCTTGATGGTAGGAAGCAGAGAGTAATAGTGGAATGATGAAGGGTCTAGGCCCGAAACGTCAGCCTTCCTGCTCCTATGATGCTGCTTGGCCTGCTGTGTTCATCCAGCTCTACACCTTGTTATCTCAGTAATAGTGGAAGGATGCTTTTCGGACTGGAGGTCTGTGACTAGTGGTGTGCTTCAGGGGTCGGTGCTGGACCCATTGCTGTTTGTTATCTATATCAACGATTTGGATGAGAATGTACAAGGCATGATTAGTAAGTTTGCGGATGACACTAAAATAGACAGTATCGTGGACAGTGAGGAAGATTACCAGAAATTGCAGCAGGATTTTGATCAGCTGGGGAAGTAGGCTGAGGAATGGCAAATGGATTTTAATACAGATAAGTGGGAGGTGTTGCATTTCGGAAAGTCAAATCAAAGTTAGAGTTTAAGGAATGTAGTTGAATAGAGGGACCTTGGAGTTCAGGAGCATGGTTCTCTGAAAGTGGAGTCACAGAGTAGACAGGGCAGTGAAGAAGGCTTTTGGCACACTGGCCTTCATCAGTCAGGGTATTGAGTATAGAAATTGGGAAGTTATGTTGCAGTTGTACAGGACATTGGTGAGGCTGCACTTGGAGTCTTCTGCTCAGTTCTGGTCATCTTGCTTTGGAAGAATGTTATTAAACTGGATAGTGTACAAAAGAAATTTACAAGGATGTTGCCAGGACTAAAGGAACTGAGTTAAAGGGAGAGGTTAAACAAGCTAGGACATTTTTCTTTAGAATGTAGGAGACTGAGGGGGATCTTATAAAAGTGTTTAAGATCATGAGAGGCATGGATAGGCTGAATGCACTTAGTCTTTTTCCCAGGGTTGGGGAATCAAGGACTAGATGGCATCAGTTTAAGGTAAGAGGGGAAAGAATACATGGGAACGTAGTATGCATATAGAATGAGCTGCTGGTGGAAGTGTTGAGTTGGGCACATTGACAACATTTAAAAAGCATTTGGATGAATTCGTGGATAGGAAAAGTTTAGAAAGGATACGGGCCAAGTGCAGGGAAATGGGGTTAGCGTGGATGGGCATTTTGGTCAGCACGGACCAGTTTGGGCCGAAGGGCCTGTCTCTGTGCTGTAGGACTCTATGATTCTAAGATTATCAGCTATTGTTGAAATCCATGAAATTAGAAACAAATTTCTGACACAGTTTAAAAACCGGTTGATTTGACAGAAAACTGAGAGGAGGATAGCGGGCAAGCATTCCATTTGGTGGGATGAGACTAGTGGAGCTCCTCAAGGGTCTGTGTTGAGTCCTTAATTCTCTATAAAGATTTAGAATGGAATAGAAGTCACATATTCCAATTTGCTGATGACACAAAGGTAACTGGTATTGTCAGCAGTACAGATAAAAGCATGAAATTACAAAAAGATATTGACAGATTAACTGAGCAAACTCTGGAACATATGAGGTATCAGCTTTGGAGATAGAAAGAACTGAAAGTGTACTTTCAAAATGGTGAAAGGCTAAGAAGAAAATGTCACAGTCCAAAACAAAACCTCAGGGCCTTTTATACAAGTCATTTAAAATGCCATGGATAGTTACAAAGAAGGGGGGAAAATCAGAGCTCTGAGGAAAGGACAAGGAATAGGACTTAGATGAGTTGTTATTATAGAGGATCAGCTTGGACAAGATAGGCTGAATGGTCTCTTCCTATGCTGTAGCCGTTCCATATTTCTAAGACTACACTGATTCCCAGTCCCTCCTCTTTCAAATCCACCACCTGCAGTGATTGCAATGGGGTCAGCCAGCTGGACCTCATAAAATGAGCTCCCTGATTGGACCAGATTAACAGCTCCAATCAGGGAGCCCTTGCTGACATAAAGTGCTTGAGTGTCAGGGATACTGAAACTCTGGTGCCTGAATCTGTATGACGCAGTACCATAGTTACAGACTGTTCATGTGTAAACGAAGGATGACTTGATGACAGGAGATGAGCCTCTGTAAAGCTATTTTACAAGCACATTGTCATAGAATCATAGAATCAGTACAGAAAGAGGCCATTTGGCCCAGCATGTCTGCGTCAACCCTCCAAAGAGGATCTAACCCAGACTCTATCCCATATCCTATCCCTGTAACTCCACATTTCCCATGGCTAAACCACCTCGCCTGCACATCCCTGGACACTATGGGCAATTTAGCGCGGCCAATCTGCCGAACCTGCACATCGTTGGACGGTAGGAGGAAACTGGAGCACCTGGCAGTAACCCATGCAGACACGGGGAGAACGTGCAAACTCCACACAGACAGTCACTTGAGGCTTGACCTGAACCTGCCTGCCTGATGCTATGAGGCAGCAGTGCTAACCACCGTGCCTGAGAAAAGATATATTGCAGCAATTACTGCCTCCCTAAAAATAGACTAGAATTTGCTAAATGTAATAAGCAGAGCAAAAAGAAAATTAATGTCTTTTATTACAAATATTGAAAGCTTTATCTTTCCACTTACAGGTACCGATGCTTGTGCCAATTTTCATGCTAATTATTTCAGCCTACCTGGTGGTGGCGCCAATTGTTGGTGATCCTCGGATTGAATACTTGTTTGTTTTTTTATTCATGTTGTGTGGTCTCCTGATTTATTTCCCTTTGATTCACTTCAAATTATGGGCAGGCTCGTTGGGCCAGGTAACCGTGTTTTTGCAGTTGCTGCTAGAGGTTGCACCAACCCAGGCCAACCTGGACTGATTATACAAAATATGAAATATTCCAGATATTGGAAATCACAACAAAAACAGCAAACCATGGAAACACTCAAAAGTTTAGGCATCATCTGCGGTGAGAACAGACAAGATGTTGCAGTGCTATAACTTATCTTCTTTTATTAATAAAGGTTTTTCTCAGGCAAAAGGATAGTTGATTTGCTGTTATTTATAGTGAAAGCAAAAATCACTTTACAAACAATGAGTTTATGGTTTGATTACAAATTGCATGCAGATGCAATACCCTTTAGTGAACTGCAATAGTACCAGATGAATGCAGGTCACTGAAAAACACAATGGGCTGAATACAACACAGTGTGGAGCTGGAAGAACACAGCAGGCCAGGCAGCATCAGAGGAGCAAGAAAGTTGATGTTTTGGGTCAGGACCCTTCTTCAGAAAATAGCCCAACCTGAAACGTCAACTTTCCTGCTCCACTGATGCTGCCTGGTCTGCTGTGTTCATCCAGCTCCACACTGTGTTGTCTCTGACTCCGGCATCAGCAGTTCTTACTATCACTGAGTGGGCTGAATATTTCCAGTTTCACTCAGTGCTCTGTTGAGTAAGATTCATGACTGATCTGCCATGGCTCACAGCAGCTTCTTTTTCATGTAATCTTGCCTCTTCAGCTCATTAACTATGCATCTACAGTGTTTGTTTTATACAATTGTGCCGCTGGAGAGGCAGATGCACCCATCACTGCCAAGTGAGTTCACACCAGTGTTGCTGTATTTAAAGCCCAGCTCCACATGTCAGATGCTGCAAGCCAGGAACTGCCTCTCATTCTGTGTGTGTTACATTGAAACATAGAAGATAGGAGCAGGAGGAGGCCATTCGGCCCTTCAAGCCTGCTCTGCCATTCGACACGATCATGGCTGATCATCCAACTCAATAGCCTAATCCTGCTTTCTCCCCATAAACCTTTGATCCCATTCGCCCCAAGTGCTATATCTAGCTGCCTCTTGAATATATTCAATGTTTTGGCATCAACTACTTCCTGTGGTAGTGAATTACAAAGGCTGACCACTCTTTGGGTGAAGAAATATCTCCTCATCTCTGTCCTAAATGGTCTATCCCGAATCCTCAGACTGTGACCCCTAGTTCTGGACACACCCACCATCGGGAACACCCTCCCTGCATCTACCCTGTCTAGTCCTGTTAGAATTTTGTAAGTCTCTATGAGATTCTCCCTCATTCGCCTGAACTCCAGCGAATACAATCCTAATCTAGTCGATCTCTCCTCATATAACAGTCCCCCCATCCCCAGAATCAGCCTGGTAAACCTTCGTTGCACTCCCTTGAGAGCAAGAGCATCCTTCCTCAGAAAAGGAGACCAAAACTGCACACAATATTCTAGGTATGGTCTCACCAAGGCCCTGTATAACTGCAACAACACATCCCTGCTCCTGTGCTCAAAACCTCTCACAATGAAGGCCAACACACCATTTACCTTCTTCACCGCCTGCTGCACCTGCATGCTTACCTTCAGCGACTAGTGCACAAGGACACCCAGGTCCTGCTGCACACTCCCTTCTCCCAATTTACAGCCATTCAGGTAGTAATCTGCCTTCTTGTTTTTGCTTCAGGAGTGTATAACCTCACATTTATCCAAATTATACCACATCTGCCATTGATTTGCCCAATCACCCAACCTGTCCAGATCATGCGGAAGGATCTCTGCATCCTCGTCACAGTTCACCCTCCCACCCAACTTGGTATCATCTGCAAACCTGGGGATGTTACATTTTGTTCCCTCATCCAAATCATTAATATATATTGTGAATAGCTGGGGTCCCAGCCCCGATCCCTGTGGCACCCTACTAGTTACTGCCTGCCAATTTGAAAAGGACACATTAATTCCTACTCTTTGTTTCCTCTTTGTCAACCAATTTTCTATCCATCTCAATACACTTCCCCTAGTCCCATGTGCTTTAATCTTGCATAATAATCTCTTATGCGAGACTTTGTCAAACGCTAGTCCAAATATGCTCCATCAACTGGCTCTGCCTTGTCAACTCTACTAGTTATATCTTCATAGAATTCCAACAGATTTGTCAAGCATGATTTCCCCTTCATAAATCCATGCTGACTCTGTCTGATCCTGCCACTGCTTTCTAAATGCTCCACTGTAAAGTCCTTGATAATGGATTTGAGAATTTCCCCCACTAACGATGTTAGGCTTATTGGTCGAGAATTCTCTGTTTCCTCTCTACCTCCCTTTCTGAATATTGGAGTGACATTAGCCACCCTCCAATTTGCAGGGACTGTTCCAGGGTTTATAGAATCCTGGAAGATGACCACCAATGCACCCATTATTTCGAGAGCCAATATGTGACCCAACTATTTTTTTGTCGAAGGAGAAGAAAATTAGAAGTGGTGTAGAAACAAGGTAAGTGGGTTATTAATGAGACATAAATTGATGGAATATAAGTGCTGCTCCATATCAAGGTTCTAAGTCACCATTAAAATCTGAGGGGGAAAATTGCAAAACCCTTTCTTGAAGTTGAAATTGGGTCTTTTTTTCATTCTTGCCCTCTTATCTCAACTTTCTCAACATTATCCATGCCACACAAAGCAGGTGAAAATTCCATCCTATGGAAACCCCTTCAGGTCAGTTCATAGAAACAGTCTGCAGGCCACTTCTCCTTTGATTCTTCTTCTTTCCCTTCATCATTGTGCTGCCTATAGAGGGTGAACTTAAGGTTCAGGATATGGAAGTTTGGGGGGTATCATGCGTTGACATTCTATGCTTTTAATTGTAAATTAATAAAAATGTTACTTTTGAGTAATATTTTTAATATGTTTCTGATGAACAAGCACATTTGTTGTATTGGTGACCTTTGTTGTACTAACGAAATAAAAGTTTTATTGAAATAACCCAAAACAAACAAATAATGTCGGTGCTAACATGACATTTACATGCAAATAAAGTTGCTGAGAATTGTCAAAGGAAACCACAATTACAACCTTTTGCAAGATTTCACATTGCCATGACAGACATTATAAGTTGCTGGTTTTATCAGCATTTCTGGGTGTTTTGTTGTTATTTTTAGTATTCTTTCACTAACTATATATTATTGACTACTGTTTGAAATCACTGTTGGCACCAGAGTTAGTGTGAATGTTTCAGAGCTGACTTTCCCCAGACTTATTAGTATGCAAGACCACACTTGTTGGATTTCTGACATCAACCTCATTGTGTAGCCATTGTGAATTCACAGCACAAATTGGCCGTGTTCTGGGAGCTCTCTTGTCAGTAGGAGGAGACAGGAAATAATCCACAGCTACAGCTTTCAAAGACTGCATTCACCACATGAAAGAGCTGCTTTCAATGTTGTTGGAGAGAAAACTCAGAATCAGGTGATGGAGGTCCCCATCATGTGTAGATGATGCCTTGGAGATATTCCGAAAGAAAAGCTAACACATGGCAGGAGTTCCACTGGGATTCCAGGCCATTGCTCTACAGGATAAGTGTTACAATCCGCTTTTGCACATATTCTAAATAAACTGATTTCACATTAAACTTAAAGTCCATCAGCCAAAACCATGCTTGATTCTGAACAGCCTTATGTGAATGCGTTGAGAAAAAAAATCAGGGAATTACACCTGTGCTAATTTTCAGATGACTTCAGTTGACTTTCATACGAAATGAATAACTTTTACAAGAACACTTTTGAAAATCTAAAATATCATGCGTGTTACACAAAGGATGAAAATCTGGTAACAATCATTCTCTCAACTTTTTCTTTCATGGGATGTGGGTGTCATTGTCTAGGCCAGCATTTATTGCCCAGCCCTAATTGGCCCTGTAAAGGTGGTGGTGAACTGCCTTCTTGAACCACTGCAGTCCATGTGGTGCAGGTGCATGCACTGAGCTGTTAGAAACATAACAGGAGTTGGCTATTCCAACCTTCGAGCCTGCTCTGCCATTCAGTATAATCTTGGCTGATCATCTAACTCAATATCCAGCTTGTGCTTTCTTCCCATACCCTTTGATCCCTTTAGCACTAAGAGCTACATTAAACTTCTTGAAAATATTCAATATTTTGGCCCCAACCACTTTCCGTAGCAGAGAATTCCATGGACATACCAGTACGTAGCTGAAGAAATTTCGCCTTATCTCAGTCCTATTTGACCTTCCCCTTCTCCTTAAACTGTGACCCCTCCCATTTTGTATACAGGTGTCACATTAGCAGTTTTCCAATCCTCTAGTACTTCTCCAAAATCCAACGATTTTTGGAAGATTACAACCAATGCATCCACTATCTCTGTAGTGTTTATAGTTCCAAGTAAGAATGGTGTTTGATTTTGAGGTGAACTTGTAGATGATGATTTCTCCATGTACTTGCTTCCCCTATCCTTTGATTTCTCTTTGCTGTTTAACTCTCCCCATATGATGTAGAAGATTGGTTCTTACCACTTTTTTTCTGTGGATGGCGCTCTTGCCCAACTTGACGTTTCTCTCGCAGCAGAGGTAATGTCCTACTCTGCTGAAGTAGAGAAAAGCAGAAGTCTACTAGTTCCACTTGTTGCAAAAGTAGTGTTCATGTTAAGAAACAAATTTATTGCAAACAGAGGCGTTAATCTTAGGATGAAGATATAGGCATTCACATATATATAATATATATCATAGGTCTGACTGAGATTGAAGGGGTGTGCTGTTTCCTTTTCTAGTCCTCTTTGTCTATTTGCCATAGCAAATTTTAATCAAGTTGATGATACGTCCAAATATGTGGACCGTGTTAAAAACATATCAACCAGCTTTTAGTCAACAACGAATAGCTGGTTAATTACCTTAATTAAACCTACTTAAACACAAAGATTATTGACAAACAGTTTTTATTCTGTTAATATATATATACCTATCCTTTCAAAATAAACTACCACACAACCACAAGTTTGAGGATAAATGAAAAAATGAAAACTCTGCAGAGTGTTATTGTTAAAGTATGTTGCCCAAATAATGAAAAATTATAAATAAGATTAT